ACGAGCTGAAATGCATTAAACCTACAATAAAATTTGGTGGTGGTAGCGTCATGGTGTGGGGATGTTTTTCGGCTACCGGCTTAGGGTCGCTGGTACGTGTACGGAAACTCGTCGATACCATGCCAAAACGGCTCAGAGAAGTCATCCAGCGAAGAGGTGGACACACGCATTATTGACAATCGCCGCGTTCTATGTCTTCATGAATATTCATGAGCTTGCGTTTACACGGTATTCTCCATAGAGAATTCGAACGTTTTTTCACTGTTTCGTTCAGACTGCCGTTTTTATTCAATCCTGCATGACAATGACAATTTTGTTGTTTTTATTGTGTGTAAAAACGCATATTTTATTAGATATATAAATATATTTATTCAAACCGTTATTGAGTTTATTTTATTGTATGATATCGTAGGTAGTAGCTGCCTGTAGTGTGGTGCGTAAATACTTTCTGGCGGGTCTGTATATATATCTATAACATGATGTATAATGAATATTTAAAATTTGAACATAATCAGTCAAAGCATGTCAGAGATGGCTCTAGAAGCCCATTCATTAAAACAAAATGGCCGCCAGTCAGCCATTTTGAATCTGATCTGAAAAAAAAAATGATGTGCATCAGGAACTGCGTCCAAACAGGGACTAAAAAGTGCAGAAAAATTTGGATGAGAAAGTCTCAGGTGGTGAAAAGATCAGCAGGTCATTGGCCATATGTATATATATTATTATTTAACTGAAAGAGTAATATTTGTTGGTCATTGTTGTTTTGCATGAATGTCAATATTCAAATTTTGCTCAGTTGCATAAATTTGACAGATGAAAAATTAGGTCTTATTGATATCTAAAGTGAATTTACAAACATTTCAGTAGACACAAAGTGAACATTTAAATTTCTTGTTTACAAGTTATACACTATGTAGCTTTGATATACTAATCCCATAATGACAACATATGTAAGAAAATAATATTTATATCAATTACCGCATCATTAAATGGAATAGGAGGAAGACTACTGTCAAGTCTGAACATCTCAGATGTTAACAAAGCTTTCATTGTTAAAACCACACCATCAACATCACGGGCCATTACACCATTAACACCACACACTAAAAAAATCAAAGCATGTATCAGGACTTAATTCATATCCAAAAAAAACAAGTCAGTATTATGGTAGCCAAGATTTATTTGTCGGACCCACCTAGGGTTACACAGTCAATAAATGATTCAATGCATAAACAACCATGCTATCATTGATTAAATATTTTCAATAGAAGGTCAATTTAGAAATCCTAAAGGACTGGTATTTTGACATTGAGCTATATAAAAACAAAGCTTCAAGTTCCAAACAAAATCATTTGATTTTTCAAGCAAATTGTCAGTACACGCCTTTCATAAAGTACGTCTTGTGGTGAAAAAAAATCACCTACTAGGAAATCAAGAATTACTGAAATGACCGACAGAATTATTAATTAGGATCAAGAGTCAATAACTCTGTTAAACTAAGTCAATAATCTAATCTGTGGAGATTTACTCCAACCTAAGCAGGTAGTTAAAAATAGCAGATTAAATAATATCATCAAGAAAACCAGATCAACATCAGATCTTTGTTTTAAATTGCCAAGGAAGACAAATGAAGATTAACTACAATGCTGCCAGTGATATCAAATAAACCAGAGGTGATTACAACAACAAAGCAAAGCAGATATTTCCACTGACAGCTGTTTACTTTTCACCATGATGACTGAATGAAGTGATATCATAATCAATGTATAATCAAATTTGTATTGACAGTTAGCAAACTGGAGAATGAAAAGTAGGTACAAAGACCAATAAAGTTGATGTGTCAATCAAACATACAAGTAGTCAAAGACTGGGACCAACAACTCACTGTGGATATTACTATGAACACTTACTTATAGCTCCATATATACTTGTATAATTATCAAATGGCAAGAAGGAATTGTCATAATCACTAACTGACTCAATAACTACAGAAAGTACTTTAGCATGATTGCTATGTGAGAAACAAATACATTTAAATTATACTTGATACTTGTATCAGAGCACTGAATAGCAGTTGTATTATAGATAGATTGGGCTGTTGCATATAATATAACTGATATTTATTATAATTATCTTATCATTTAAATACTCAGTTGTTATTTAGTTTATTTTCGTTGGAATTTATTTTCGTTATTTTCGCTGGCAAAATGATTCAGTGAAAATAAAATACAGCAAATATACATCATGATTTTTTCCTATATTTTACATTCAACTCATCACTATTTTTCAAACTAATAGTAAATTTTCATTAAAGACTCGACTTTAATATCCTTAGGTCCAAACATTCTTGATCGAAAAATTTAGAATTTTGATAAGGTTGAAGAATAAAGCAATTATATCTATAAGGTTGTGTGTCTTCATATGCCTTGAGTTATACAAAACATCCACTGCCATGATCTTAAATTGTAACCAAGGTAACATTGCAACAGTATCATTAATATTCACTTTTACTTACATGCTTTTTGTCCAGGAAGAACATTTGCTTGCCCAATTAAACTTGAAATAAAATAAAATAAAATAAAATAAAATAAAATAAAATAAAATAAAATAAAATAAAATAAAATAAAATAAAATAAAATAAAATAAAATAAAATAAAATAAAATAAAATAAAATAAAATAAAATAAAATAAAATAAAATAAAATAAAATAAAATACTAATAAAAATAATAATATTGCTTAACCTCCCCAAAAAATATGTACTAGTGTAATCAACCTGCTGAAACATTATTACCCAAATATATAAATACATATATCATACTAAGATGCAGCACATACCTTATTCTACTTCTGGTTGGTTTTAGAGAAGAGATACCACAAAAGTGTGCCGGTATGCGAACACTCCCACCGATGTCAGAACCAATTCCAATCTGTGATCCATGCATACCAATTAGAGCACCTTCACCTCCAGAAGAACCACCAGGACATCTTTCACAATCATGTGGATTCAATGTCTCTCCATATACTGGGTTACTACAACTAAAACTGCATAGAGGATACATTATTAATTTATATTATTAAGTGTCAATGTCAAGTTCATTGTTTCCTATTTGTTTTTGTTGTCCACATTTAGTAACTCAAACTTTCATTAACAGTTAACCAAATTTCAAGTTATGGGCATAGATTTTCTGTTTGTTTTAACATTGTATGTTACCTGTAATTAAAGTTCAAAGTTCAAAACAAATAATCCATGTTGCCCATAACTCAACTGGTAATTCTACTTAACTATTGCCCCTTACATGTACCTAAGCATGATCTGTGGTACATTAGTTCTCATAAATGGTATGGCTCCTTCCTTTTTTAACACTTGAACTATGACATGGTCTTCAGTACATATTTTACCAATGTATTTAGATATACCAAAATGACTGTCATATCCCTGAAAGTAAACCAGATTTCTTATGTAAGTATAGTTGTTCAGTTTTTCTATAATCCCGGTATTTCTAGACATTGGGATAAAATTAAATGAGTATCAGATTTAATAAATTACTGTTTCACAAAGGTCTCACATTCTAATTGATTAATAAACTGTTTGACATGAGCTGCCATCAAGCCCAATTTTTACTCGCTCAGCTGCCCACCAGCGCATTGCAAATAACTTAACTTGGGTTGACAGAAAGCCTGTCCACCAGCTCATTGCCAATAAATTTACTTGGGTTGACAGAAAGCCTGCCCACCAGCTCATTGCAAATAACTTTACTTGGGTTGACAGAAAGCCTGCCCACCAGCTCATTGCAAATAA